TCTTATTCAGTGGTTCCAATAGCGTGTTCCCATACGTTGAAGCTGTGTAGTGAAGCCCACGCTAGTGTTCATAACTGTTCAGTGTTCAGTATGCATTGTTCACTGTTCAGTAGTAAGGCTCAATGGTGTAGTGATAAGCTTACAACCAAAGGGACCTAAGTTTAATCCCAGACGAATTTACATATATAGGCATGTCTCCTGACACCTGCTGCTCCCTATTTACCTAGTATATAGGTACCTGCATGGTGACTCAGCACACCTTAGATAACTCTACGCTTCGATTTTAGTTGAGGAAGGATAACAGCTCTTAACCTGGTACCTACCATCATGACCCTGGTACCTACCATCATGACCCTGGTACCTACCATCATGACCCTGGTACCTACCATCATGACCCTGGTACCTACCATCATGACCCTGGTACCTACCATCATGACCCTGGTACCTACCATCATGACCCTGGTACCTACCATCATGACCCTCGTACCTACCATCATGACCCTGGTACCTACCATTATGACCCTGGTACCTACCATCATGACCCTGGAACCTACCATCATGACCCTGGTACCTACCATCATGAACCTGGTACCTACCATCATGACCCTGGTACCTACCATCATGACCCTGGTACCTACCATCATGACCCTGGTACCTATCATCATGACCCTGGTACCTACCATCATGACCCTGGTACCTACCATCATGACCCTGGTACCTACCATCATGACCCTGGTACCTACCATCATGACCCTGGTACCTACCATCATGACCCTGGTACCTACCCTCATGACCCTGGTACCTACCATAATGACCCTGGTACCTACCATCATGAACCTGGTACCTACCATCATGGCCCTGGTACCTACCATCATGACCCTGGTACCTGCCATCATGACCCTGGAACCTACCATCATGACCCTGGTACATACCATCATGACCCTGGTACCTACCATCATGACCCTGGAACCTACCATCATGACCCTGATACCTACCATCATGACCCTGGTACCTACCATCATGACCCTGGTACCTACCATCATGACCCTGGTACCTACCATCATGACCCTGGTACCTACCATCATGACCCTGGTACCTACCATCATGACCCTGGTACCTACCATCATGACCCTGGTACCTACCATCATGACCCTGGTACCTACCATTGTGACCCTGATACCTACCATCATGACCCTGGTACCTACCATCATGACCCTGGTACCTACCATCGTGACCCTGGTACCTACCATCATGACCCTGGTACCTACCATCATGACCCTGGTACCTACCATCGTGACCCTGATACCTACCATCATGACCCTGGTACCTACCATCATGACCCTGGTACCTACCATCGTGACCCTGGTACCTACCATCATGACCCTGGTACCTACCATCATGACCCTGGTACCTACCATCTTCCCACAGACGTAGTTGTGCCATCTCCTGGTCATCAGAACCATAAACATTGGAACCATCCAGGAAGGATGTTACCTGTAAATGAAAAACCGTCTTACACATGTTTACAACACGGGGGAGGGGGACTGTTGTTTACAACACGGGGGAGGGAGACTGTTGTTTACAACACTGGGGAGGGGGACTGTTTATCTGGAGTTTATCTGGAGAGAGTTTCGGGGGTCAACGCCCCCGCGGCCCGGTCTGTGACCAGGCCTCGTTAGGTCAGTGTCCCAGGATGCGACCACACACCAGTCGACTAACACCCAGGTACCCATTTTACTGATGGGGAACATAGACAACAGGTGGAAAGAAACACGCCCAATGTTTCTACTCTGGCTGGGAATCGAACCCAGGCCCTCACCGTGTGAAGCGAGAGCGTTAACCACCAGGCCACCAGAGCAAGAGATTGAGGTAGAAAGGTATCGTCATCAGAGTTTGTGGAGTAAATCAGTCGTTGCCAAGAAGTCAGAGAGTCAGGATTAAAGGAGGGTCCATCAGCAAGAAGGGAAGGTAGAGAGAGAGTAGTAGAGCGGAGACGACGATGACCCTGGTACATACCATCATGACCCTGGTACCTACCATCATGACCCTGGAACCTACCTGTTGTTTACAACACTGGGGAGGGGGACTGTTGTTTACAACACTAGGGAGGGGGACTGTTGTTTACAACACTAGGGAGGGGGACTGTTGTTTACAACGCGGGGGAGGGGGACTGTTGTTTACAACACGGGGGAGGGGGACTGTTGTTTACAACACTGGGGAGGGGGACTGTTGTTTACAACACTGGGGAGGGGGACTGTTGTTTACAACACTGGGGAGGGGGACTGTCGTTTACAACACTAGGGAGGGGGACTGTTGTTTACAACACTGGGGAGGGGGACTGTTGTTTACAACACTGGGGAGGGGGACTGTTGTTTACAACACTAGGGAGGGGGACTGTTGTTTACAACACTGGGGAGGGGGACTGTTGTTTACAACACTGGGGAGGGGGACTGTTGTTTACAACACTGGGGAGTTGTGTAGGAATGGTATATAATACCGACAAGATGAGATTAAGACACATGTGCAACATCTGGGTATCTTTATTGTAGACGTTTCGCCATCCAGTGGCTTTATCAATACAAATTATAGGACATAACTTGAAGACAGTAGAACTATGTACAGAAGATGAGGTAATCAGTCCCTCAACCTAGGAGTAGGTGCGAAGAGCACCATAGTCGTGGAGATTCTGAAGCAGAAGAAAGGATCCTGGCGCTTATATAGTAACGTCAGGTGTAGCAGACGAGGACATAGTCACTGGTAGGCGGGATTCCCCAGTGGAAGTAGGTCCTTCCCAAAGAGATGGGTTAGTTGTAGTAGTAGTTGTCGTAGTCGTGAAGGTTAAGTACATGTCCACAGAATTAAGATTCCATGATGTTGCAGTGTCTGACAAGTTGTGTACGAATGGTATATACTACCGACAAGATGAGATTAAGACACATGTGCAACATCTGGGTATCTTTATTGTAGACGTTTCGCTCGTCTGCTACACCTGACGTTACTATATAAGCGCCAGGATCCTTTCTTCTGCTTCAGAATCTCCACGACTATGGTGCTCTTCGCACCTACTCCTAGGTTGAGGGACTGATTACCTCATCTTCTGTACATAGTTCTACTGTCTTCAAGTTATGTCCTAGAATTTGTATTGATAAAGCCACTGGATGGCGAAACGTCTACAATAAAGATACCCAGATGTTGCACATGTGTCTTAATCTCAGCACTGGGGAGGGGGACTGTTGTTTACAACACTGGGGAGGGGGACTGTTGTTTACAACACGGGGGAGGGGGACTGTTGTTTACAACACGGGGGAGGGAGACTGTTGTTTACAACACTGGGGAGGGGGACTGTTGTTTACAACACTGGGGAGGGGGACTGTTGTTTACAACACGGGGGAGGGGGACTGTTGTTTACAACACTGGGGAGGGGGACTGTTGTTTACAACACTAGGGAGGGGGACTGTTATTTACAGCACTAGGGAGGGGGACTGTTGTTTACAGCACTAGGGAGGGGGACTGTTGTTTACAGCACTAGGGAGGGGGACTGTTGTTTACAGCACTAGGGAGGGGGACTGTTGTTTACAACACTAGGGAGGGGGACTGTTGTTTACAGCACTAGGGAGGGGGACTGTTGTTTACAGCACTAGGGAGGGGGACTGTTGTTTACAACACTAGGGAGGGGGACTTGTTTACAGCACTAGGGAGGGGGGCTGTTGTTTACAGCACTAGGGGGGACTGTTGTTTACAGCACTAGGGAGGGGGACTGTTGTTTACAGCACTAGGGAGGGGGACTGTTGTTTACAGCACTAGGGAGGGGGACTGTTGTTTACAACACTAGGGAGGGGGACTGTTGTTTACAGCACTAGGGAGGGGGACTGTTGTTTACAACACTAGGGAGGGGGACTGTTGTTTACAGCACTAGGGAGGGGGACTGTTGTTTACAACACTAGGGAGGGGGACTGTTGTTTACAACACTAGGGAGGGGGACTGTTGTTTACAACACTAGGGAGGGGGACTGTTGTTTACAACACTAGGGAGGGGGACTGTTGTTTACAACACTGGGGAGGGGGACTGTTGTTTACAACACTAAGGAGGTATAACTTTTTCTTGCGGTTGTTTACAGCGCTAGTTAGGGGATACTCCTTTATTTCCCATCTCTTGTGTTGTCTCATTTACACAGTCTTGTTTACACTTGTTTACAACAATAGGGAGGAAACTATGATTTACAAATGTTTACAGTAGCAACTGTCTTATTTAAAAGACACAAGTGGAGTAGATTATAAGTGATCGATAGACACATGCTTACCTGGTCGATAGATACATAATCACGGTGGTCGATAGACTCTTGCTTAACTGGTCGATAGATCTTCTCTCACGTGGTTGACAGACACACACTCACCTGGTCAATAGACACTTGTTTTCGTGGTCGACACACAGTCACCAGGTCGATAGACTCTTGCTTACCCTGGCGATAGATAATGACTGACCTGGTTGATCTGGTCCCTTGGACCCAGAGCACAGTTGGGTCTGGGAGCTGGAGATGACCTCACAAACTCCATACAAGTGTGGTTCCACTGGGAGTAGAAGACGTCAGTCTTGGGGATGCTGATGGGCAGGCAGTCAGGATGCTGCCAACACAGAACACTCAGGTAACACACCATAGTTACCTAAAACTATTACTTATGCTCTTCTTACTATTACTACTGCTACCACTGTACTACTACCAATAATATAACCGCTATACTACTAATGCTGCTGCTACTACTACTACCACCGCTACTACCACTACTACTACCACTACTACCACTACTACTACTACCACTACTACTACTACCACTACTACTATTATCACTACTACTACTACTACCACTACCACTACTATACTACTACTACTACTACTACCACTACTACCACTGTTACCACCACTACTACTACTACTACTACTACCACTACTACCACTACTTCTACCACTACTACCGCTACCACCACTACTAACCACCACTACTTCTACCACTACTACCGCTACCACCACTACTACCACCACTACTACTACTACTACCACCGCTACTACCATTACTACTACCACTACTACTACCACTACTACTACTACTACTACCACTACTACTACTAATAACAATACCACTACTACTAACACTACCACTACTACCACTACTACTACCACTACCACTACCACTACTAAGACTACTACTACTACCACTACTACCACTACTACTACCACTACAACCACTACTACCACTGTTACCACCACTACTACTACTACTACCACTACTACCACTACTACTACTACTACCACTACTACTACCACTACCACCACTACTACCACTGCTGCTGCTGCTGCTGCTGCTGCTGCTGCTGCTGCTGCTGCTGCTGCTGCTGCTGCTGCTGCTGCTGCTGCTGGTAATAATAATATAACCGCTATTCCACTCTTACTACTACTCATAATAATAATAATAATAATTGTAATGACAATAACAACAACAATATAATAATAATAATAATAATAATAATAATAATAATAATAATAGTCTCACCCTGAACATCTCCGGCAGGGGAACACCATCCTTCTCGTTGCAACACTTGGGTACACTGTGGTTGAAGCCTCGAGTTTGTGCAGTCGCTGACAACATGAAGGAGAGGTATCAGCACAAGGTGGGGGTGTTGCCAGTACAAGGTGGGGGTGTTATCAGCACAAGGTGGGTGTTGTCATACAAGGTGGGGTGTGTTGCCAGTACAAGGTGGGGGTGTTGTCAGATACAAGGTGGGGGTGTTGTCAGTACAAGGTGGGGTGTGTTGCCAGTACAAGGTGGGGGGTTGTCAGTACAAGGTGGGGGGTGTTATCAGCACAAGGTGGGGGTGTTGTCAGTACAAGGTGGGGTGTGTTGCCAGTACAAGGTGGTGGTGTTATCAGTACAAGGTGGGGTGTGTTGCCAGTACAAGGTGGGGGTGTTATCAGTACAAGGTGGGGGTGTTGTCAGTACAAGGTGGGGGTGTTATCAGTACAAGGTGGGGTGTGTTGCCAGTACAAGGTGGGGTGTTATCAGTACAAGGTGGGGTGTGTTGCCAGTACAAGGTGGGGGTGTTATCAGTACAAGGTGGGGGTGTTGTCAGTACAAGGTGGGGGTGTTTCAGTACAAGGTGGGGTGTGTTGCCAGTACAAGGTGGGGGTGTTATCAGTACAAGGTGGGGGTGTTGTCAGTACAAGGTGGGGGTGTTGCCAGTACAAGGTGGGGGTGTTATCAGCACAAGGTGGGGGTGTTGTCAGTACAAGGTGGGGTGTGTTGCCAGTACAAGGTGGGGGTGTTATCAGTACAAGGTGGGGGTGTTGTCAGTACAAGGTGGGGTGTGTTGCCAGTACAAGGTGGGGGTGTTATCAGCACAAGGTGGGGGTGTTGCCAGTACAAGGTGGGGTGTGTTGCCAGTACAAGGTGGGGGTGTTGCCAGTACAAGGTGGGGGTGTTGTCAGTACAAGGTGGGGTGTGTTGCCAGTACAAGGTGGGGTGTGTTGCCAGTACAAGGTGGGGGTGTTGCCAGTACAAGGTGGGGGTGTTGTCAGTACAAGGTGGGGTGTGTTGCCAGTACAAGGTGGGGGTGTTATCAGCACAAGGTGGGGTGTTGCCAGTACAAGTGTGGGGTGTGTTGCCAGTACAAGGTGGGGGTGTTATCAGTACAAGGTGGGGGTGTTGCCAGTACAAGGTGGGGGTGTTATCAGTACAAGGTGGGGGTGTTGTCAGTACAAGGTGGGGTGTGTTGCCAGTACAAGGTGGGGGTGTTGTCAGTACAAGGTGGGGGTGTTGTCAGTACAAGGTGGGGGTGTTGTCAGTACAAGGTGGGGGTGTTATCAGTACAAGGTGGGGAGTGTTGTCAGTACAAAGTGGGAGTGTTGTCAGTACAAGGTGGGAGTGTTGTCAGTACAAGGTGGGAGTGTTGTCAGTACAAAGTGGGAGTGTTGTCAGTACAAGGTGGGAGTGTTGTCAGTACAAGGTGGGGTGTTGTCAGTATAAGGTGGGAGTGTTGTCAGTACAAGGTGGGAGTGTTGTCAGTACAAGGTGGGGTGTTGTCAGTACAAGGTGGGAGTATTGTCAGTACAAGGTGGGAGTGTTGTCAGTACAAGGTGGGAGTGTTGTCAGTACAAGGTGGGAGTTTTGTCAGTACAAGGTGGGAGTGTTGTCAGTACAAGATGGGAGTGTTGTCAGTACAAGGTGGGAGTGTTGTCAGTACAAGGTGGGAGTGTTGTCAGTACAAGGTGGGAGTTTTGTCAGTACAAGGTGGGAGTGTTGTCAGTACAAGATGGGAGTGTTGTCAGTACAAGGTGGGAGTGTTGTCAGTACAAGGTGGGGTGTTGTCAGTGCAAGGTGGGTGGGTGATACATGTCTGTAGATGAGGTAAAACTGGTCAGTACAATCAACAAAACAGGTGTATCTATGCACTTACCTGTGAGGTCATGGTCTAGGAACTGTCCCCACTGCATGACCATCATAGTAATCTTGTAGGAGGGACTATTAAGAGCTCGGTGGACGGTGTCACTGATCCTACGAGGGTTGGGAAGCTCACCTTCCCACACACTCTCTCGTAGTTTGTCTATCCCGTCACTGCAGAAAGACACACCATGTGTAAATATGTATATATACGGTGTATGGAGATGTCAGTAACATAAAATGCAGTGTGTGGACACAGACCGGACCATATACTGTCTTAAGAGTCTCTGAACACTCAACCTTTCACAGACATCTCCATGCAAAATACTTCATTATCAATAATAAGATATCTGAAGTGTTGATGAATGGTTCAGAAAACCCACAAGTTGATAAATTAGACACATGTGCAACATTTGGGTATCTTTAATGAGGAAACGTTTCTCCACACAGTGGCTTCATCAGTCCATCAAATCTTTTCTAGATTGATAGACTGACTACCTCGACTCAAGGTTGAGGGACTGATTACCTCAAACTCCTCCTGTTCTTCACCATTCTCCTTTGTATGGACTGATGAAGCCACTGTGTGGCGAAACGTTTCCTCATTAAAGATACCCAAATGTTGCACATGTGTTTAATTTATCAAGATATCTGAAGTCTTGACGTAACCACATTTTGCATCGACTAGATAACTAAAATGTTTTTATAAAGATTCAAACCTGTTTTTTAGTGGTAATAAGATATATTTTTTGAGATTGTATTCCATACTAATACATTGTTGTGATCTTTGAAAGTGAGATCCTCTGACATTATCACTCCCAGGTCCTTTGCATAAGTTTTCTGCTCTATTTTGTGGTTGGAATTCGTTTTATACTCAAATAACAACTTCCTCGGGGAATGTCTAACACCTGTCTTTATGGATGCCCAACACCTGTCTTTATGGATGCCCAACACCTGCCTCGGGATGCCACTCCCCCTGATGTTTTTCAGAGTAACAAGAACAAAGATATGACATAAATTAAGACAGATATATGAAGGTAATCGTAAATCTGCCTTCTCTCTCACCTTGAATTACAGGAACTTCTCTGTAACGTTATTGTAGCTTTGTATGGAGGTAGACACACTTGTAATTACTGAGAGAGGACCTGTGACTCACATATAATGGGTTATCATTCAGGTTCAAGAAACAGGAAGTGTTATCATGCAGTACAACGCACAGGTAATGAGTTATCATACAAGTGCAGCTCACCTGTAGTCTGGAGGAAGGAAGCGGGCAAAGGGTCTGAAGGCAGCCCCCCAGCCTGGGTTCTCCAGGTTGTTGCAAGTACCGTCCAGTGTGCGGAACATGGCGGAGTATGCAGGACAATCCAGCTCTGTCAGTTGGTCTGTCTTGACGGGGCAGTCGTCGTATAGAGCAGTGTTTCTCAGGGAAACTTGTTCTAACCCAAACAACGCTTGTTGTCGTGTTAGTAGGAATCTTCACCGCGGGGCCGGGAAACACGGGCACAGGTTATTTGTCGTTCATTTATCCGGAAGATACTAACTTTATTGCACTTGAGTTAATAGTTATCAGAGCTTATTCCTTGGGTAACATTGATAATGGGGTCGAGAGAATATTTTTTAGTGGGTTTGGGTTTGGCAGGGACCTGCCAAGTATGGGCCAGTAGGCCTTCTGCAGTGTTCCTCCTTTCTTATGTTCTTTGTTTATATTTGCCCTGCATGAATGGCTGGCAACTATATTTAAGTCTATTTGCATTAAAACAAATTATTTTATTCTATTTTTACTCTGTCATTCCTCATTCCTTGCATGCCTTCCCTCTCATTATTGTTTTGATATCCTGTATACACATGCCCTCTCTCTCTCTCTCTCTCTCTCTCTCTCTCTCTCTCTCTCTCTCTTCTGCTGTACTTCCTTAATCTCAGTTATATACACAAAATTAGAGGCACTGACACCAGCAGTTCCTTGTCATGATATGAACCCAAGGATTTCTTTCTCTACCTGCCCTTCCCATGTACAATTTCTCAAACTCACTTTTTCATCCTGTCTCCCTTCCACTCCCTCTCTCCATCTCTCTCCCTCCTGCCATCTCTCTCCCTCTCTCCATCTCCCTCTCTTCATCTCTCTCCCTCCTGCCATCCTCTTACTCACTGCTTGGAGAGGAGTTCTGAAGCCTTGAGGGAGGCGTAACCGAAGGATGCCAAGTCTTTGCTTCTCTTCTTCTGCTTGTTGAAGGCTGCCAGGAAGAGTCCTGGGTCACCCTGCTGAAGGTGGTATCCTGGACAAGGGAACCTCGCGTCAGCTCGCTCACATCAGTGCCACATTCTCATGCACTTTATTTAACATTTAATAATCAAATTGGTCGTTTTATTTTTGACGTGAAAGAAGAAAACACATTCATCATTACTTGCTCCCTCCCTATATCTCTCCTGAAGGCCACAGATAACCAGCCCGTAATGTGGTGAAAACGTAAGTGTTACAGAAGGCAGAGAATAATTACACATCAGATATTTTGCAAAACTATTATTTAACATATAAAAGTATTACTTGGTAGGATCGTAACTGAATATTTGTAGTTTAGAAGATGATACTGATGGAGCAACCCGGGAGAGAATCTTTACTTTTAACATGGTAATGTGAAGCAAGCAGCCAAGAAACTTTGTTAACTTAGACGAACAGATTCACAGGAAGTGTTTTAGTTAGCAAAAACACTTTCTATGAACCTGTTTACTGGGATGTCATCCTCTATTCTTCAACATTGCAAGCTCCTGATGATGTGTTAACTGCAACACAAAAATCCTAGAGGTATCATTCCACTCACCCCGTGGTTGCTCTGCATATTGTATCGCTTGTTCGCGGTATTTAATCTTGTAGTTTATGACTAACAGATTGTATCTTATATCTGAGGTAAGAGAGGTTGTACAACTAACCTTCCTGGAAGAGTTGAGGTTCCTTGACGTTAGTGAGGTAGTTAGTGGCATTAATGCCGTAGTTAGTGACCTGATTCAGTATAAGGGAGCCAGCATCACTGCTCTCACTGAACTGGATGGGCACGGCTGCCTGCCTACCTTCACGTACCCACGACAGTGAGTACGGCTCAGACTTCTGGTGAGGACCTGCAGGTATAGCCATAACCTCTGGCACCTCTAGTGGAGCTGTGATGAGGGAGGTCGCTACTGTCTTCCCCAACACCACCACCATCACAACCACCACCATCCATCTTCCATACCTGCCAAAACTGAAGCAATGATAATTATATCATGATCTAATATGATTATAACCTAGCATGATTATAGCCTAGCATGATTATAACCTAGCATGATTATAGCCAAGCATGATTGTAGCCTAGCATGATTGTAGCCTAGCATGATTATAACCTAGCATGATTATAGCCAAGCATGATTGTACCCTAGCATGATTGTAGCCTAGCATGATTGTAGCCTAGCATGATTATAGCCAAGCATGATTATAGCCAAGCATGATTATAGCCAAGCATGATTATAGCCAAGCATGATTATAGCCAAGCATGATTATAGCCAAGCATAATTATAGCCAAGCATGATTGTAGCCAAGCATGATTGTAGCCTAGCATGATTATAACCTAGCATGATTATAGCTTTACTTACTGAAATAATTTTTTGCCGGTGATCTCTCCTCTTGGGTATGTTGTTACGTTAAAAACAAAGCGGTAAGCCCGCATGGGTCATGCAGAACCCCAGAGGGCCAGGGATACCCTAATTATGACCTCCATTAAGTGTCATATGCCTTAGCTGACACCAGAGATACAAGGATCTCACAATTATAACCACTGTCCAGTGTCAGGCACCACAGCTGACACCAAAGATACAAGGATCTCACTGTTATAACTTCTGTCTAGTGTCAGATGCCTCAGCTTTTTAATGACGACGATACTTATTTTAGTTACACCTTAAAACAATTTTTCTTTTTATTTATTAAAGAAAACGGGTTTCTTCAGGCACTTTTATGGGTAACTAAGACAGATTTCTTCATCGCATTATACTATTCGTATTTATTTTTGTGTTGTATTATGGAAAGGGAACAATTATATTTTTGTCGGATTATTAACACCGGAGGGCTAATGGCCCATGATAACCCAAGAAAGCCATGCAGTGTGGCTTGGTTGTTAGCGTTCTCAACTCACATTGAGGGTCAAGGGTCGATCCCGGCACGGGTGGAAACTTAAGACATGTTTCCTTACACCTGTTGTCCATGTTCACCTAGTAGTAAGTAGGTACCTGGGTGTTAGTGGAATGGTGTGGGTGGCATCCTGGGGCACAAGAATAAATTAAGTTACCAGAAAATGTTCTGCAAAAACCACAAACTTTCTATATAATATATCACTGCTGTCAGCTGTGGTCTGTAGTAGTGTTATTATTATTATTATTATTATTATTATTATTATTATTATTATTGTTATATAATATACCACTGCTGTCAGCTGTGGTCTGTAGTAGTGTTATGTATTATTATTATTATTATTATTATTATTATTGTTATTATTATTATTATTATTATTATTATTGTTATTATTATTATTATTATTATTATTGTTATTATTATTGTTTATTATTATTATTATTATTATTATTATTATTATTATTATTATTATTGTTGTTGTTATTATTATTATTATTATTATTATTATTATTATTATTATTATTATTATTATTATTATTATTATTATTATTGTTGTTGTTATTGTTATTATTATTATTATTATTATTATTATTATTATTGTTATTGTTATATAATATACCACTGCTGTCAGCTGTGGTCTGTAGTAGTGTTATGTATTATTATTATTATTATTATTATTATTATTATTATTATTATTATTAAGTGTATGATCTTGTCTGTTAGAGCACTTAATTTTTCACGTGATTTATAGAGTTTGTTAGACAATTTAATTCAATCATATGCCCCCTCTCACTAGGGGCGGGGTTGTGTCCCTCTCACTTGGGGCGGGGTTGTGTCCCTCTCACTAGGGGCGGGGTTGTGTCCCTCTCACTAGGGGCGGGGTTGTGTCCCTCTCACTAGGGGCGGGGTTGTGTCCCTCTCACTAGGGGCGGGTTTGTGTCCTTCTCACTAGGGGCGGGGTTGTGTCCCTCTCACTAGGGGCGGGGTTGTGTCCCTCTCACTAGGGGCGGGTTTGTGTCCTTCTCACTAGGGCGGGGTTTGTGTCCCTCTCACTAGGGGCGGGGTTGTGTCCCTCTCACTAGGGGCGGGTTTGTGTCCCTCTCACTAGGGGCGGGGTTGTGTCCTTCTCACTAGGGGCGGGGTTGTGTCCCTCTCACTAGGGGCGGGTTTGTGTCCCTCTCACTAGGGGCGGGGTTGTGTCCTTCTCACTAGGGGCGGGGTTGTGTCCCTCTCACTAGGGGCGGGTTTGTGTCCCTCTCACTAGGGGCGGGGTTGTGTCCCTCTCACTAGGGGCGGGGTTGTGTCCTTCTCACTAGGGGCGGGGTTGTGTCCCTCTCACTAGGGGCGGGTTTGTGTCCTTCTCACTAGGGGCGGGTTTGTGTCCCTCTCACTAGGGGCGGGGTTGTGTCCCTCTCACTAGGGGCGGGGTTGTGTCCCTCTCACTAGGGGCGGGGTTGTGTCCCTCTCACTAGGGGCGGGGTTGTGTCCTTCTCACTAGGGGCGGGGTTGTGTCCCTCTCACTAGGGGCGGGTTTGTGTCCCTCTCACTAGGGGCGGGGTTGTGTCCCTCTCACTAGGGGCGGGGTTGTGTCCCTCTCACTAGGGGCGGGGTTGTGTCCTTCTCACTAGGGGCGGGGTTGTGTCCCTCTCACTAGGGGCGGGGTTGTGTCCCTCTCACTAGGGGCGGGGTTGTGTCCTTCTCACTAGGGGCGGGGTTGTGTCCCTCTCACTAGGGGCGGGGTTGTGTCCCTCTCACTAGGGGCGGGGTTGTGTCCTTCTCACTAGGGGCGGGGTTGTGTCCCTCTCACTAGGGGCGGGGTTGTGTCCCTCTCACTAGGGGCGGGGTTGTGTCCCTCTCACTAGGGGCGAGGGACTCAGCAATGCAGGTTTCCCAGCCTTGTAGACACTTAGTGGTTAAGAGAACACTTTCCAACCTCTGGTCAGGCAAACCCAGCCACACTCCACACCACATCACCGCTACTCAAACATTTAAGTGCACTAGACATCTTGTAAGTGCAGTAGACATCTTGTAAGTGCACCAGACATCTTTTAAGTGCACTCGACATCTTTTAAGTGCAGTAGACATCTTGTAAGTGCACTAGACATCTTTTAAGTGTACTAGACATCCTTTAAGTTCACTCGACATCTTTTAAGTGCACTAGACATCTTTAAAGTGCATACAGTCAAGTGTAGGTGTAGTGCTCAATGTTTTCAAGTGGATAGTTAACGATATTTCAGTTATGTCTATCTGGTCTACTAACTTCAAGATTGTTATTAATCTCTAATATACTAATGTCAACTCTATCACTGTGGAATAAATTTAGGATTGAACCTTCATAAATAACTCGCAAATAACAGATAAAACTAGCCGAGGTTCCAGTTTATTTCTGAACCATTATTAAGCCACATGTGAAGCAGAGAGAGAGGATAAGAATCCACAAGTGAGAGAGGAGAGGGACCCACAAGTGAGAGAGGAGAGGGTCACTCAAGTGAGAGAGGAGAGGGTCACACAAGTGAGAGAGGAGAGGGACCCACAAGTGAGAGAGGAGAGGGTCACTCAAGTGAGAGAGGAGAGGGTCACACAAGTGAGAGAGGAGAGGGTCACACAAGTGAGAGAGGAGAGGGTCACACAAGTGAGAGAGGAGAGGGTCACACAAGTGAGAGAGGAGAGGGTCACTCAAGTGAGAGAGGAGAGGGTCACACAAGTGAGAGAGGAGAGGGTCACACAAGTGAGAGAGGAGAGGGTCACACAAGTGAGAGAGGAGAGGGTCACACAAGTGAGAGAGGAGAGGGTTCACACAAGTGAGAGAGGAGAGGGTCACACAAGTGAGAGAGAGGAGAGGGACCCACAAGTGAGAGAGGAGAGGGTCACACAAGTGAGAGAGGAGAGGGTCACACAAGTGAGAGAGGAGAGGGTCACACAAGTGAGAGAGGAGAGGGTCACACAAGTGAGAGAGAGGAGAGGGACCCACAAGTGAGAGAGGAGAGGGTCACACAAGTGAGAGAGAGGAGAGGGACCCACAAGTGAGAGAGGAGAGGGTCACACAAGTGAGAGAGGAGAGGGTCACACAAGTGAGAGAGGAGATAGTCACACAAGTGAGAGAGGAGAGGGTCACACAAGTGAGAGAGGAGAGGGTCACACAAGTGAGAGAGGAGAGGGTCACACAAGTGAGAGAGAGGAGAGGGACCCACAAGTGAGAGAGGAGAGGGTCACACAAGTGAGAGAGGAGAGGGTCACACAAGTGAGAGAGGAGAGGGTCACACAAGTGAGAGAGGAGAGGGTCACACAAGTGAGAGAGAGGAGAGGGACCCACAAGTGAGAGAGGAGAGGGACCCACAAGTGAGAGAGGAGAGGGTCACACAAGTGAGAGAGGAGAGGGTCACACAAGTGAGAGAGGAGAGGGTCACACAAGTGAGAGAGAGGAGAGGGACCCACAAGTGAGAGAGGAGAGGGTCACACAAGTGAGAGAGAGGAGAGGGACCCACAAGTGAGAGAGGAGAGGGTCACACAAGTGAGAGAGAGGAGAGGGACCCACAAGTGAGAGAGGAGAGGGTCACACAAGTGAGAGAGAGGAGAGGGACCCACAAGTGAGAGAGAGGAGAGGGACCCACAAGTGAGAGAGGAGAGGGACCCACAAGTGAGAGAGGAGAGGGACCCACAAGTGAGAGAGGAGAGGGACCCACAAGTGAGAGAGGAGAGGGACCCACAAGCGAGAGAGGAGAGGGTCACACAAGTGAGAGAGAGGAGAGGGACCCACAAGTGAGAGAGAGGAGAGGGACCCACAAGTGAGAGAGGAGAGGGTCACACAAGTGAGAGAGGAGAGGGTCACACAAGTGAGAGAGAGGAGAGGGACCCACAAGTGAGAGAGGAGAGGGTCACACAAGTGAGAGAGGAGAGGGTCACACAAGTGAGAGAGGAGAGGGTCACACAAGTGAGAGAGAGGAGAGGGACCCACAAGTGAGAGAGAGGAGAGGGACCCACAAGTGAGAGAGGAGAGGGACCCACAAGTGAGAGAGGAGAGGGTCACACAAGTGAGAGAGGAGAGGGTCACACAAGTGAGAGAGAGGAGAGGGACCCACA